ATATAGAATTATTGAAAATTACCTAAACAAATATAAATCCCTAATTGATAAAAATATTTTACCTAAAAATAAATAATACCAAGATAAAAATATTAATAAATAGATTATAAATGGAAGAACTTACAAAAAAGTCAAATTGATTTGAAATTATTAAATACTTAAAAAATGAAAATTTTTATTTGAATAAATTAAAAACACCATTCAACTTATTTTCTTTTGAAGATCAAATAGTTCATAATTATTAACAGTTTATTGAAAAGTTCGATAAGATACAGTTTAAATTTATATAAGTAAATTTAAACATCTACCGGCGAAATGAGAATGAAGTAAAATATATGTAGAATGCATTGATAAGGTTGTTTAATTTTTTGAGAAACCATAAGAAAAAGCTTAATCATCTAATCAATAATATTTAATCATTTAGTAAATTGGTCCCATTGCCTTTATTTTTGGTATTAGGATTGTTAATCAATTCTTTGTATATCTATGAGATAATTAGAACAACCACCCAAAAGAAGCCATCCATGTTGGCTACAAAAATCCTAGAATATGAATAAGAGTTTTTCACTTCAAATATTCAAAATTTATTTCTTAAAAATAAATGCTTAAACATAGTTTATATTCCCTTAGAAACATGTTCATGCATCAAGTTAAAATTTTAGTCTTTTGCAATAAGCATAAAAATTCTTTAAATACCTCCCCTCTGATGTAATAGAGAGATTATTTATTCAATAGGTGGGGATAGATGAGTAAAAGAGTAAAATTATTGATTTATATTAATCAAGGATTTATAGAATTTTGTGAAGAAAATGATCCTGTTGAAGAAGCCTTAATGAAAAAACTTAGAAAAAAGAAGAATGTTCTTTCAACACTACTATTTGAATTGTAAGAATATTCTCTCGAAAGACCTAAAATTATAGATTTAATAACGTAATTAGTTTTTTTATTTTCAGTTAGATCTTACGAAAGGCAAGTTAAAAAGGGGAGTAATATCTACAGATGAAATCATACTAGCCTTTCTAGCCTTCGGCATCTAATTATTTCGTTTCGAGCTAATAATCATTTAATAATTCCTCCATCAATCGCTCTGAACAAAAAGAACCTCATGGAGATAGGTTGTATTTCTTTTAGTAAAGAAGCTGACTAATTTTGATGGTATGCAAGAAATAGNTCAGAAATTAAGTATTATATTTACTCTGATCAATTCTGTCTTAAGAATGTGATTCTTTTATTTCGATCGATTCGATTGGGAATCTACTTTAAAGACAATAATTTCATCCGTTTCCGTTCAATTTCAAATCCCTTTTTCACATAGTTATCAACTTTAGCATTCTGCAGAGATGATATTTTCCACAATTATGGTAGAACTCTCGAAATACGTCTTCTCTAATATTTGACTTTTTCAAAATTTGAGATGCTAAAGGTGTTAATAGCTAAAAATTGCACATTCTCTAATAAATATAGAATTATTGAAAATTACCTAAACAAATATAAATCCCTAATTGATAAAAATATTTTACCTAAAAATAAATAATACCAAGATAAAAATATTAATAAATAGATTATAAATGGAAGAACTTACAAAAAAGTCAAATTGATTTGAAATTATTAAATACTTAAAAAATGAAAATTTTTATTTGAATAAATTAAAAACACCATTCAACTTATTTTCTTTTGAAGATCAAATAGTTCATAATTATTAACAGTTTATTGAAAAGTTCGATAAGATACAGTTTAAATTTATATAAGTAAATTTAAACATCTACCGGCGAAATGAGAATGAAGTAAAATATATGTAGAATGCATTGATAAGGTTGTTTAATTTTTTGAGAAACCATAAGAAAAAGCTTAATCATCTAATCAATAATATTTAATCATTTAGTAAATTGGTCCCATTGCCTTTATTTTTGGTATTAGGATTGTTAATCAATTCTTTGTATATCTATGAGATAATTAGAACAACCACCCAAAAGAAGCCATCCATGTTGGCTACAAAAATCCTAGAATATGAATAAGAGTTTTTCACTTCAAATATTCAAAATTTATTTCTTAAAAATAAATGCTTAAACATAGTTTATATTCCCTTAGAAACATGTTCATGCATCAAGTTAAAATTTTAGTCTTTTGCAATAAGCATAAAAATTCTTTAAATACCTCCCCTCTGATGTAATAGAGAGATTATTTATTCAATAGGTGGGGATAGATGAGTAAAAGAGTAAAATTATTGATTTATATTAATCAAGGATTTATAGAATTTTGTGAAGAAAATGATCCTGTTGAAGAAGCCTTAATGAAAAAACTTAGAAAAAAGAAGAATGTTCTTTCAACACTACTATTTGAATTGTAAGAATATTCTCTCGAAAGACCTAAAATTATAGATTTAATAACGTAATTAGTTTTTTTATTTTCAGTTAGATCTTACGAAAGGCAAGTTAAAAAGGGGAGTAATATCTACAGATGAAATCATACTAGCCTTTCTAGCCTTCGGCATCTAATTATTTCGTTTCGAGCTAATAATCATTTAATAATTCCTCCATCAATCGCTCTGAACAAAAAGAACCTCATGGAGATAGGTTGTATTTCTTTTAGTAAAGAAGCTGACTAATTTTGATGGTATGCAAGAAATAGTAATGTTATTAATATTAAAGTATTGAGGATGAGAGATGTATTAAAAAATAGTAATACTTTATTAAAAGTTAACCAATGAGAAAATAAAAAAATAAAGAATCTAGATGAAGAAGTGTTCTACATACTTCATCCATAAAGGAACAATCCTAACAAAAAATCAAGAAATTAAATAGGTATTTTAAGACATATGAGGATCAGTAAACTTTTACTCATTTCGCACAGGTGCATCAAAAAGTAGCTGTTCAATTGATAGGAAATGAAATCTGAAATTTGGAAGACTACTTGTCATATGCAACCTAGTAAAGTGAAGCAAAATACTTTCGGAAAATTATTCATATTCATCAGATAAATAATAATTTGACACATAATCTCAACAAAATTTCAAACTAGATCATTTTAAACCAATTTGAATTAACTACCTAAAAATACTTATACAATATGAGAGGACGCGGTATATATTTGGAAGAAAAATATAGCATAAAAAAATTATGAATGCAATTTCAGTAAACAATGTCTAGAAGGAGAAATTTTGGTTTTTAGAAGTAATTTGATAATATAAATAATTAATATGGATAGATTAAAAGATATTGAAAGTATGGCGCATGGACATGCTGGGGCCTTGGCTGGTCTCTTTTCTACTTGTCTACTTTATCCTCTGGAAAACATCAAAACAAGAATGGCTGCATCATAATAAAAAGAAGTCATACAAGAGGTCATTATTAAAGTTTGGGATTAAGAAGGGCTTTGGGGATTTTTTAAAGGAGTTACTCCTTTAGCATTAGGCAACTATATTTCATATGGAGTCTACTTTTTTTGGTACACATTTTATATTTTATGAGAAGGTATGAGTATTTTAAACATTTGTTTAAAACAGATATTTCAAATTCATTTGCATTAATCAAACCATCATTAGCATCAGCTATTCTCACAACATTCGTAACAAATCCGTTTTGGGTTGTGTAATCGAGAATGACAATCAGCAAAGATAACCTTAATTTTTTTTAGAAGACCAAGTAAATTATTGAAAAAGAAGGGTGGGAGGCCTTAATGAAGGGTTTATAGGCGTCGCTTATATTAACAATAAATCCTATAATTCAATTTGTTATTTATGAAGCATTTAAAAGAAGATTTTAATATGCAGAAAATTAAGCCTTAGTAAATTTTATTGGAGGAGCAATATCAAAAGCCATCTCCACAATTTTAACATATGTTTAGAATTTATCATTTATTATTAGCCTTATCAACTTCTGAGGACAAAAACACATATCAAGAAAAATAGTTCAAAATCATATTTTTCAGCAGCTGAAAAGATCCTAAAAAATGAAGGGATTCAAGGATTATTTAAAGGTGAACCATTATCATTTATTATTTAGGATTGACACCAAAATTGTGTTAATCAGTATTGAATTCAGCATTTTTGCTTATGTTTTATGAAAAAATATATGAAATCATCAAATAAGGAATAATCCTTATCATAATTGAAATTTTGAAATATCGCAAGAAAATAAGAAAACTTTAGAAATTAAAATGATAAACGAAGGTTGATTTATTTATGTTTTTTATGTTATTTAATTCAAGCAATTTATTAAAGTTTTTATTTGTATAAGGAGTTCAAAAAAACTCTGGATGGGCATTTTTTTGGATTCTTATCATCAAAATCCTTTTGTGTAGTTGAATTAAATTAACCATCAAAAGCAGGAATCATTCTAACATTCTAAAAATATGAGTTATTAAATTTACTTATTCAGGATCATTTCTATTTAATTTTCCAGTTTGATAAGGCTTGTAAAATGCACTATTTGTAGATTAATGAATAAAAGGCAATTCTGGTGATATTGGACTTTTAAAGCTGCTTTTATTTGCAGTTGTTAGAAATTCTTCTCTTGGAATAGGTTTTTTATAAAAGTTATCCTGATAGGTTGAATGTGTAGTCATAGGAATATCTACTACAGTAGGATGATGAGGAGGATTGATCTTAAGAGATGACATTCCACCTCCAGTGTAGTCAAGCTAATAATAATCTCAATATAATTACTCTGTATGCTGATGAACTACTGAATGGAATCAAAAACACTTTTTGTTCAGGTTTTAAAGATTCTGCTGGTTTAGCATCAGTGTGAGCTTAATATGTGCTCTAAAATTGAATTAGTATTTTAGTACCCTTTAGATGGTATTAATATCCATGGGTAACTAACTTTTGTAAGTTACATTGTGATCAATGAGAGGGATTTACTTTTATTTGCCATGGGCGATAAAATTCCTTTAATATAATGATTCTTATCCTTTCTTAAAATCATTTGACAAGAGCATTTTTGGGCATTTACATTATCCGCAAATACATCTACCACAAATACAATCACCTTTGAGATGATTGAAGAATGCTTCATTTTTATCCAATAATTTTCCAAAATGAGTGGACAATAATTAACTCTAGTAATTATTCGATTAGAGTGTAGAATAACGTGAATTGTTTTGGTAATCTTATTCACTCATTTTTTTATAAAATGTAATAAAATATTTATGAATTTATGTTCGTTTTTATAATTTCACTTTGTGTTTTGTTATTCAAAACTTCATTAAGAAAGATTCAACTAATCTTCCAAAATCTTCTTTTTCATTAATTTACTCATTTTATTACAAGCTCCTTTCCAATTGCCCTAATTAATGAACGAATTATAAATTATTGTGTATTTAACTTTCTATTTTAGATTCACTTATTCCTGATTGTTAAATAATCACCGAAGAATTTTTGATGCTATCTTCTAATAGTTATTTAAATTAATCAGTTTTTAAAAGTTACAACGCATCCTTAAATACCTATTTTTCTACAGCCTTTTTTTACTCCCCATTTCTTTTTATAGGTAAAACATCATTAATTACAAGTTCATATTCATAAATTGGCTGATTTTAATCAAATTTATTTTTAAGTTCTTAAAAGTTTAACTTATAATGATATTCTTGATGTTTATCCATAAACTCTTTGAACTCTCCCTTAAAATTGTCTTATTTTGGTAAACTTATTGATTCATCCTTTATATAGATTAGTTATTACAAGCTATTTTTTTATTAAATCTTAATAGAGAGTTATCAACAGCTTTCTTAGATAATTTAAATCCTTTTTTTTATCAAAATATTAAGCTCCAATAAGAGCCTTTATGGCTTGAGACTGTATCTTAGGGTTATTTCTATAAAAATTAAAGATAAAGATTACTTCAAATCAGAGTTGACGTTGATAGAAACAAGCATCTCATCCTTTAATCCTAATTAGAGAGCAGCATCAGCTAAATTCTTTTCAGACAATATTAATTGTTTTTATTTTCTAATATCAGAGTAGGATGTAAATGTTTTATGATCTTTATTGGGTAGACTATAATATATAAAAATTCAGTTAGACATACTCTTGAAATGTAAAGAAATCATTAAAATAAAAATCAATTAGGTCGGAACCCCATTCAATCAAATTTTCATTATTACCATATTTTAAAGGATTATCTTTATTCCTTGACATATATTCCTGTTGATATTATTTAAATGTCATAGCCTTCTTAAATAATTCAGGATATTAAAATTCTAATAATTTCTTGAAAGCCAAGTCTTTTTTGTTAGATTGCATTTTAATATAAATAAATTTAGGGATTAATTTAATCAATCATATTTTTATATGATAGATAAAGAAGATAAGCAGAATCAATATGAGAGATTTGATCAGGTGAAATTCTTTCGATTTCATCATAATTGAATAAGAAAAACTAAGTTAATTGATAAGAGAATAAAATTATTTATTAATTACTCTTCATAACTGTAAAGTTTCCTCCATTAACTGTACCAGAATGTACAATCATGACTGAAAAATAATATTTTGTATCTATAATGTCTGTGGTATAACAATAAAAAGAATTATTGCTAAAATTTATACTTCTTAATATTGAGTTCCATATCTGTTATGACTGGTCTTTAACTTTCTTTTTTTAAAAGGTAGCTCTGAAATCTTTTAGAGTGCAAAATAAGTATATTTGGAGTACTCGTAATTTTGATTCCTCCTTTAATGTTTTTGGATATTTATTTACATTTTGAACAAATCCATTCACCATCAATAATTTCATCTACAAAATAGTTTAAGAGACATTTATTAATAGTAAGTTTTTTTTAGATGAGATTCATACTATATCTTTATTTCTTATAAATTTCAAAAATTGCCTAATAACTCTTTCTACTATTCCATCACTACTAATTTGGTAACATAACATACCTCAAGCCCACCTATAATCCTACAATAAATAGATTAGAAAAGATTTCGTTAATGACTTGAATGTGAATCAAATTTAACTATGTCCAAAGAAGTAAGTATTAACATGATTCTCATCAATAGCTATATTCTTATTTTAGCATTTTTAATATTGAATTTCTTTTAAACAAACATAAATAATTAATATTTTCTGTATTAATATGAATTTTTTATTTATTAATTAGTTATTTTCTATCTTACTAATTAATAAATCTAACAACAAACTATCAAATTTGATTTCAAATTCAACAAATACTGTATGTAATTCTATGTTCTATCAAAAAGTATTACTTCTTATCCTATCTTAATTCAATCATAATCCAGAAAAATTGGGTATTTAGAAGGATTTTCTGAATAAATTTTAAATAAAATTTTACATTTAAAAAATAATTATATTTTGAGGAAAGATTTAAGTGAAAAATATTAGAGGGATATTTTTTTTATTTTTATTTTATGAATTATTTATTTATAATTCTACATATAATCCAAGAAATTAAAATAGTCAGTCATCGCTTTAATATTAAATCAATCTATTAGTAATTTTATATAGAATCAAAATATTAAAAAAAAATGTTATTTATTTATTTTTTTATTATTAAAATTATTCTATAAACATTAAGTTTAATTTTAATATCAATTAAATAAATTGTGCATCTATAATTTTATTAGAAAGCATTATGTTTTTAAATATTTGAATACTTAAATTAATAAATAAACATAACAATAAATCTAAAAATAATATAGAGGCATTAAATTTTCCTAAGTTTTAGATAATTATAAATTAAGCCTCTCTTTTGATGTGAATATTTAATCTTCTATTAATCTTATTGATTAAAAAATAATAAGATGAGATTTTATCTAGAATTTAATTTAAAGAAAATTAAATGTAATTTTTAGAAGAATCGATTTAAATAATCCAATAAACCTTTAGGATATATTTGATGATATAATGGTCGACTAAATTTTGATTAGGCATTCTGATTCCAATTATCAAGTTTAAATAATTTATCAAGTAAACCTTTTTCGAAGTTAAATACTTGTTTATTATCTATAGATTTGTCAGTTAAATTGATATTGATGTCATTTTTCTTGATTTTCAAACTAAAAAATAGAATGAAAAAGATATTATAATAAAGTTAGAAATATCAATGTATTAATTTAGTAAATATATAATCGAATATTTTAAATAAAATAATTGGAATGTAAAGAAAAGAACTTGAGAAGCATCTGAAGGAGATTAAAGAGGAATTAAATTAACTGATACCAAATTATCTAGATGAAGGAATATTGATTTACTAAGTGAGTGCATGAAATATTTCATAGATTGGTAGCAAAGTTCAAATTGAATTATCAGAAGAATTCAATATTCAATAAGATTTTGAATTGAATTTTAAGTCAGTATTTTTAGAATTCATTTTCAATTTACAGAAACAAAAAATGATTTAAAAACAGATATTCAATCCACCAAAATCAATTAGTGATTTATTTCTAGGTAGCTATTTTAATTTAGATGATGTGCCAAAGATTCGTAGACATCCTATCTTAAAGAATATAATCGATCATATAAATTAGCGTATAAATCATTTCTTTCAAAATCAAATATCAACATTGAAATTTTTGATTGATTAACAAAAATTAATTGATTCTTATAGTACAAGATCATCACCAATTGTTATTGATATAGAAATTGATTCAAATTTAAAAACTCCAGAAGAGTAATAATAGAAAGAGTTAAAACAAGAATAAGAATTGATTCAACTTGCATAATATTAAAATCCAACTTAAGAGCAATTGAATTGTCCATATTGTGTTTGTAAGAAGAGCAATTAGACTGTTTAAAAACAATTAGCATTGAGATGTGCGATTTGTAAAAACTATTTTCATAGTTCATGTTTACGGATTGAGAAACCAAAAAAAGTGTTTGTATGTCCAGAATGTATACTAATTGGAATTGATCCATTACATGAATTAAAAGAGTCAATTTTAGATCCTGTAATATTTTAATCAGTAGAAGGGATGACAAATTAATTTACATAAAAATTTTAGATGAAAAATAGATTATTATCAGAGCAATTAATAGAATTAAGATCTATTAAGATAGATGGATAATATGAAGATATTTCATGGCCCGATTTAGGAGATTTATAGTTGAATGGAAAAAAGATTCTAGATTTTAGGCCATTAGCTAATAATAGTTCTTTGAAAAAAAGAAAGGATGAAAAATTGATGCTTAACATTGAATATGGACAAGTTAATATTCTAACAATAAGAGAATTAAATGGAACATCAGAAATGAAAGCTTATCGAATAAATTAAGGAATTCCTTATATGTTAGGAATATTCTAAGTCAAAGTTTATAAATTAAGTGAATTTATTAAAAAAGTCAAAATGGACTAAAGTTGTTTATTAGGAATAGAATAAAGCAAGAAATTTATTTAATTGTCATTTTTATAAAATTAATTTGATGAAGTGACAATGGAGAGTATTAAGGTTAGTTTGGATTGTGTCTATGATCTAAATTAAATCTAGACTCCAGCAAGAGGCAATATTTGTGAACATATTTAGTGTTTCTCATTAGAAAACTTAGTAACTATGATGAAGAATGTTACTCCTCGAAAATGGAAATGCCCAATTTGTAAACAGATGATTCTTGGATTGTAGATTGATGCATATTAAATGTGCATACTTACTATAATCAAGTAATACAATCTGAAAATAAATGAAGTTTCATTTAATTAGTTTGTAAGCTGAGTGCTTAATTCTTTAGGGCGAAGTAGAAAATCCTGAATTGAGAGAATTATTGAAATAACAAGAATCCACTCTTCCAGACTCTACTCGTAGCAATAATAATCGAGTTATTCAATTAGAATAGATCTCACAACGAATTTTAAAAATCTCAAATCAGGTTGTAGCAGAACCAAAAAATAAATATAAACCAGCACCTCCATTACCAGAACCAAAACCAATTAAAAAAATAGGTAATTCATTTTGTGATGCTATTCTCATTGATTGATTATGTAATAAAAATCATAGATTATCCTTTCTCTTTTAAATCTCAATCTCATAATGATGCTCTTCATCTCCATCCAAACCATAATCTATTTTTTTTTTATGACAGACATAGAAATTATATATAAAATAGCCTAAAGCACCCAACAAAATCACCACTACTCCATAAACCAAACTTTTACTAGGCCCTATTATTATATCTAATTCAACCTTCTTCTTCTTATTAAGAATGTGCTCCTGATTTTTCACTTTAAGCTTTTGAATTCTCTGTTTGAGCAAGAACAATCGATAATGCTAAAAACAATATATATTAATTCTTCATTTTTAAATTAAAGTAATATATTCCAAATTTCCATCTTACAAACTCCATCCTCCATCACTAACACTAATTTTCTACACATTTTCATTTCCTTTAATTCTTTCCTCTTTTGTAAAGGGAACTATGAATTAAGTGGATTCAACAAACAACTTAGCTATATATATAAATAATTATAAAAACATTATTTCTTAAACAATTCTCTCAACTTTGGATCTTTTACTTTTATTGATTCCATAAACCCTAATACGCCAACATCAAAGAAATTTTGATATTTCTTCTTTCCATACAATTTATCAAATTCTTCAAAGATTGGAATAATTTTTACTTTTAATTTTTAAAACGCTATAATTTAGAATTATATATATACTTTATAAGGGATCTTATTGAATTTCAACAATCATATTATCTTTGGTAATAACTTATTTAATAGATGTATCTGTAATTGTTGTATTTAATTCAGTAATATTAGTATCTTCTTATTTATCTTATTATTATTCTTATTTTTATTAATCTTATTCTTATTTTTATTCTTATTATTATTATTCTTATTCCTATTATTCATTTTCTTCTTCTTTTTCATCTATTTTTTCTAATCCTTCCTCTTTTTGTTTTTCTTCTTTTTATTTTTACTTATTATCTTACCTCTCTAAATATTCATCAACATGTATATGATAATCAGTACCATTATCGAATTTTTATATCATATGTTAAATATTGAATTCAGATACAGTTACAGCATGAGATACTTATTATGTATTTCTCACTTTGAATAGTTATTCATTTTCTGGTTAAACACTAGTATAGATTCCAAATGAAATGTAAGGAGATACAACAATGTCTCCCCAATAGCCTCTTACCAATAGACTATCTTTAGTTTATTTATGTTTTCCTGGTAGATAACCTGCCAATGTCCTATTAGGTGTTGGATAGCTTGCATATCGTGATTCAAAGGCAACTCCAGATTGTCTCCATTCTCTATAATGAATGAAGTGAATAATAGGAGCAAAATCTTTTAAGTTCATTTAATAATCCCAATCAATCATATTGAGACGATGATCAAATCTGATGCCATAATGATGTCTTAATCTTTGATCTCTCAATTTTTCAATTTTGAATTCTTGATATGAATACCATGATCTAATAACTTCAGTCATTTCATCTCTGTCTTTGAATTTCAATTCACAAAGATCAACTATTTAATTTAGTGCCGATGTAAATTTAGTTTCCTTAGCAATTAAATCATCTAAAAATGGAATGACCTTATCAATATAATTGGTTGTAGATTCCCTTAAGAAAGTATTTCCAAAGACTTCTAGAAACATATCACTTCTTTCTCTGTATGTAAAATTCTTGGTGTGCATTATCAATAATAACAATAATGATCTACATACAGTTTCCTTGTATTTTTCATGAATATAAAAATTAAGCTAAATAATAAATTCAAACTCTATACTTATAAATCATCTCTATTATGATTACATAAACATGTTTCAAGAACATGACGTAAATCACTTACTCCACTTAATAATATGTTGATGGTCCCACTCATTTGAGGAGTAACAAGATTCAATTATTTGGAGTGTCCCCAAAATTAAATGAAACCTAAAGATGATGAATAATCACTCATTTTTTATAATTAATAATAATAATCACAATTATATAAATTATTCTAACCATTATGCAACTTATATTGTATTCTCTATAGGTAACACTTACTAAACTATTACATTCAATTTTTCATGAATTAATTTACCTTCCTTTGATTCCAATTTCTTTATAATTCTTGAACTCAGAAACATATCAATAGCCAATATTTGATTTGTATTATTAGTGATATGTTACATTTTCAATATAGAATCTTCAAAATTATTATTAATATCCTCTAAATGAGTAGTTTGAGGCATAGAATCACATGATACAGGATGACAATACTTCTTATTTTTCTATATTAAATTGCTTGCTTAATTAGCTAGATATTGATAGCCAAATAAGGATTACTCATCTCTTAAATATTCTTCATAATATTCCTATAATTTTGTCAATTTTGGATTCATCAATCTTTAAATTCTTCTCTAAAATACTAAAATAGAATAAATACTTCGGTGATTGCTCCAATCTCAGAAACAGCAATGGCTAAATAATCTATTAATAACAATTCAGTTTCATTATTGTTTTATTCATTATAGATGATATCTTTGATTATTTATGAATTGTTATTAAATTCAAATTCATAAGCTCTTTAACCTATTTCTTATGATTCAATCCTATTAATAATGAATTTAATTTAATCTAATGCAGCTCCAATTACTTAAGGAATGCATCTTGTTGAATAAGCATCTTATAGTATATTATGAGTGATTCTCTTCAAACTTAAATTTAGATCTGATTCTTCATCATCTACAGTCAATAGATTATATAATTCTTAGGCAACTTCCATTTAACCTTAATGCTATTTGACTTCATTTACTAATTAAGTAAATGCACAGATGACTCCATTAGTAGCCTCAAAAGATATAGAAGTTGTTATGAATGCCATTTTAATGCACTTCAAACTCCTATGTGTATTGTATAAGAGAGTAGCAAATGAGAGGGATTTAGTTAATATAATGATAATGGTATCATATTCGCTTAAGTTTTTTAGTGATTATAAAATGGCCCAGTTTACACTTCCATCATAATATTATGTATTAAAATTAGATGATGGTAAGTGTAATGGTGTTTGAGTATTAAAGAGTTCTTTGAGTTATCTTAATACATTTAGACTGATTCCACTATTTAGAATTAAATTGTTAATAAGCACAAACAAAGTAATTTTAGTAAGATCTTATTGCAATTAATCAACAGAATTGCATTCTAATAATTGCTTTAATTGTTTGGTTTCATAATTTTAGAGATCCTTTATAGGTTAAGGCATTTTCTATCCAAGAAGAGTATTGAAACCATATATTTATTATTGAGTATTCTGGATAAATGTTAAGAAGGATTCTCTTGATTATTGTACTTATATTTCATCGAATTCAATCATAACTTAATTTGAGAGGATATCTCCAATAAGGTTTAGAGAGTATTTTTAAGGAAGTAAAATAATCATAATTAATTATATATATATAATCATTTATTAGCACTGGATCTTGATTATTAATATTCTTTATAGCTTTATATTGCTTAATCAACATTATATTATGGGAAGTAATCACTAAACTAATTACTCTTTTCAAAGGATTGGTAGAATTCAATATTAGGCATTTCCAGAGGATTTTTCATAAATTATTTAGCAGTTTCACCTGTAAATTTCGAAGAAGTGATACCATATTTAGATGGTGGTTTATCTTATTATTATTGTTGTACTTAATATTCTCCTTTTTCAGATTCAGATATACATGAATTAGATTTACGATCAGATCTATAAGTTTTAGTTTACTATTATTATGGTGCAGTTGTATGATATTTCTAATATTTAGATGGAGTATGTGGACCTTCACTTTCAATTTGATTCTGTATCCTCTTCTAATGATAATATACACTGTCTTGCAATTTTGCTTTTTTCAATTATATACTTATTAATTCCTCTTTATCTTTATTTTACATAGCATTATTTGTTTTGCTTCCATTACTACTGTGTGGTAATGAAAATACATTTCCACTAGAATTTTTATCAGAAGATCCATTAAAATTCTTTCTATTCACTGATGCTTCCTTCAATAATTATGCATAAGAACTATGTGAAATTCCACTTGGAGGTTGTTGAATATATTGTACTGGACTTATATTTGGAATATCCATTAATTAATGACCTGGTTGTTATTGAGATTATAATGATTCTCGTAAAGATTACTATGAAGCCATATGAGGAGTATGTTAAGATTGTTATAATGAGTTTTATCTTTCAGTATATGGATTTGTTACTTCACGCAAATAATGCTATTGTTGAATACTGATCATCTCATCTTAATGGCGATGATCATCAGATATATCAGATTCAATATTTAATTGTTAATAAAGTAAAGCATTTTCTTCTATTTTCAACATTTATGATTTACTTCTCTTCTGTTTCCTTTTGATTCTTTTGATTGGATGTCTTATTTATACATCATTAGATTGGATATAAGAAACTAAAAAAGATTTCTTAGGAACATAATGTACATGATTACATTCATCAATATCATGAAATTTTCCACATGCATAACAACGCATCAAACAAAAACTATAAAACTCTTGCATTACTATCTAATCTAACATCATTTTGTATTTCTGCTTCTCCTAATAATGATGTTTTATGCACTCCTAAAATCTTTCAAGATCCAATTAAGCAATTTATGAATAACCTATTGAAGTTGCACATATATTTGAATATGAATTCTTGAAAAAAGCCTTGTTGTTAAACATTTATCCTTCACTTAAATTTTTTAATTTGAATTCACAATTTGGTGTTGTTCCTTCTGTTCTCTAAGAGATTCTAACATCTCCTGACATAATTAAATATAATTGCTAATTTGAAGTTTATTAAAGAAGGATAGTTTAATTAGGATTATAAGTGTATTCTTGAACAAGGTTGCAAATTTCCTTAAGAGTTTTTTCTGAAAATGAAGATTTAAATATGGGAATTGTAGATAATATATGCATATATCTTTAGTATCTGAAATCTTAAACTTAAGTTTGAGGTAAATAATCTAGGAAATTGAGATCAACTGTTTATTAGTTATTTAATTTATTTATATAAGCATTAATTTATTATTTGGTATTATTTTGAATTGAAAATTGATTGAGTTTCCACTTGTCTTTTGTATTGAATCTTAAAATACAATAACAATAATATATTAGAATGAGAATCCTTACAATGTAAGTAAGAACATTGGCACTCTCCTATCTATAAAACAACACAATAAACTCATCAAAGTAGTTTATATGATTGTCTTATTATAATTGAATTATAGATAAAGCTATAAATTAAACGAAATGAAATTCTATAATATAATAAATATATAATGCAACTTTACCGTAGAGTATTTACAATTCATATAAGATTCTCTTAATTTTCCAAATATTAACAAGATGAAATAATTATATCACATGTAAATTTTCTGATAAGAAACAAAAAATAATAGGAACTATAGCCAAGACATCAAATACATATTAATATTTACAGTATCTAGCAATTAGATCTTGTATTATATTAATTTCTTCTCCATCTTTGAATTGTATGAAAAGTATCTAATTAAAAATATCTATTAGCAAGAAAGCCATTAGAATGACTTAATAAATTGGTTGCTTATAGAATCCATATTCTAAATCGACTAACATAATTGTAATGAAAAAACTTAAATAAGCACTATATATAGCACTACTTAAATAATAGTATGTATTTTATTTTATAGGTTTGAACCATTAAAGTGAAGATACATTAAAAGAGAATTCAGCAGCCTTATCTTAAAGGTAATTTAATTAGAATGAAGGATGAGTGACACTAGTTTTAGATGTTATTAATCTACTCCATTAAACATTACTATAAGAATTCTATGGTTTTTCATCAATAATTAATTCTGCATTACTTACATTATTCTTAATTGTTTTGTTCATCTTTTTTGGTTCTGGATTTATTTACATTGATTATTCTTTGATGCTTGGCTCTTCATTTATTAAAAGCAAGTCTTTCAAATCATTTTGAGGAGGTTATTCTGAGGCTAACTATGGAGTTACATTAGTTGTAGGAGGTGAACGTAAGTTATCTTAATGTTGATTAGATGGTTTTCGCACTTATAGTTAATGTGAGTTAACAACAGTCATTTTTTACACAATTGGTTGGATTTACATATTGATAGAATCATCCATGGATATTGACATTGATCTAGATGAGGAACCTTATTATCCATTCAAATGAGGTTGTATGAGCATGTTATTTGGATATTTAAATTACTACTTGAATATACAATAATGGCATAATAATAATTCCATTTAAAATACATGTATTATTTTAATTTAGATTATGAAGAAATATCTAATCAAATATAGACTTTACGAACATCATTTGATTAGAATTTGATTAATATTTGATTAGAATTTAATTTCTAATTCAAGTTAATAAAATAATTAATTATTCAAAGAGTTATTATGTTAATAATTACCTAAACATGATAATCATAAGTATAGATTAAATATATCAACAATTTCAACGTATCTTATAATAATTGAATAGATTAAATAGTAAAATGATATTGATTAACTAGTATAATAAATAATTATCAATATGAATCTTAGAATATTTTAGTTATCTAAGAACTTAACAATAATAGAGACAAACTTTTTAGATAAGAAGATTATATTCAAAATAGTATGATGGATCAATATTCTTCTTTAACAATGTATTCCTAAAAGTATAAGATGTTTTTCTTATTAAAATGTATAACCAAAAATCATAAGTGGAGTAGTAGAACTTAAATAAATTTCAAATATATAAGAGATATCTAATAAAGAATGGATGATTTAATGAAAAATTACTACTTTTTCTTATATATATTTAAATTTCATATTCATTCATAATGATGAAAGTTATAAAAGAAATTTTTAGATAGTTTTTATGATATTCATAAAGTTATCATTAACAATCTAATAAATTCTTTATTGAATGATATTATTAGATTGTTTATAAGAGATGAGGAATATTTGATGATGTAATAACATATTTAAAAGGATTATAAAAATAAGAAGTTTTAGATTGATTAATTAAATAATATTCATTATTACAATTTAATTTAATTCTTCAATTTTAACAATTAACTACTTATAATGCTAATCCATTATTATTATTATTATTCATCTTGGACAATTAAATAAAAAATGGAATCATGAGTTTGGATGGTCTAGATTTTTTTTGATTTTTACAATAGAATTCAATTTCTATAATTCATGATCATCTGCTTATTTAATTGATACAATTTGATTAAGATCAATCACTTCTGTAGGATTATTGTATTATTATTACTTTTTAAAAGTATATAAAGTAAAATTAGTTAATACAATCCAGCGTCTAATAAATTAAATTATATGATATATTACTTATGCCATTTTTTAAGAAATCTTGATTATTTATCCATCCAACCTTCTTTCACTATACATTTTAAGTCTTCAAATTAATATTTAATATTTATCTATTAATTCATATAAGACAATTTAATTATAATAAAAATTCATGTTAGCTTAACTCATTACACTTAATAATTTAACATCAGAATCTATAAACATTTCTAAACCTCTTTTTAAATTAGGTAGAGATCCAACAAATGATAAATAATTTACTAACAATAAAATAAGTTCTTTCCATTTATAAATTGAATATAAGGAATCTTAATTTACAATCCTTGATAATTCTAGTAATGGCACATTTATTAACGGAAAAAGAATTGGTAAAGGCAATTAAGTAATTATCTAAAATGGAGATAATATACATATATTACCAATTGATCGAGTATAACCAAATGAAATTATAGGATTTGAATTTCTTATAGATAATAAGATCAAAGATTCCCGATCAAATTCTGATCAAATTTAATCTATAAATCATAATAAATCTTAAATTATCTCTTAATAAAATAAATAGATTGATGAATTGGCAGATGAACTTCTATGTAATATCTGTAATGAATATTTATTTGAAGCTGTCACTATTAATCCATGTAATCATTATTTTTGTGGAGCTTGTCTATCAAAATGGTTAGAAAAATAATAACAAAATGATTGTCCAAATTGTAGAACTATAATTAAATCTATTATGATAGCAAGAATGATGAATAATTTAGTTGAAATATGGTTAAAGAGTAATCCATCTTAAAATAAAAAAAATTCATTAATGTCTAAAGATAATCTCATTTATTAAAATCCAAATTATTATCTCAACTTTTAAGAAGAATAAGCAAAAAAATAATAAAAAGATATTTCTGATGAATACTTAAGTAATGATGATAATTTTGATGATAATAATCCTCATCTCTAATTTAATCCAATAATAATTCCTAATAATGCCTTCCTCTTTTAAGCATAACCAATTTAAATTTGTAAAAGTTGTAATGGATAAGTTTGGAAACAATATTAATGTACTGATAATCAAGTTCATATTGGATGTTCATCATGTGGTCGATTAATGCCTAAAAGATTACTTAGTATATATATATATAATATAATAGATGAGGATGAGAATGAATAATTATAAATGATGTGTTGTATTTGCAAAGTTTATGATTGTAAATTCTATTATGGAGATTGCAATAAAGCAAATTTAAATAAATTAATGTTAGTAAAAGATATTCGTGATTTAGTTTAAATTCCTCTAAATTTCATTAATAATGTAGAATACATAAGAATTATTAATCATCTTTAAGGAAAGTAACATTCTACAATATTTGATTTTATGTTAGAACACTACATTAATAAAGGAGACTTTTACTTTTAATAAAATAAATCAACTTTCAATTTCCCATTACAAGATATCAATGTTAAAATTACACCTAACACTGTAATACTTATATTGTATTTAATTATTAGCCTATATGTTGGTAATGTCATAGGAAATTAATTAATTTCATAATTTTCAGATATGTACAATGTTGGAAATATGATGAAGCTTTATTCTCATCACCAGATTGTTTTTATGGAATTAATTGTAGAACTCAACATAGAAATCAATATCATGCAGACAAATATAATCATGTTTGTGAATAAACTAAATTCAATTGAAATTAAATTAAACTATTTATTATTATTATATAACCGAAATGAATTAAATACAAATAGATGCATTAAGTGAACTTACTATCAATCTTTTGAATGTATCTCATATATCAATATTAGACTCTAAGATTAGAACTTAGACCAGAATAGAGTACTGTTGAATCATTTAGAAACCTCATATTATTATTTCAAGGAACAGAAGAATGGGTCTAAATTAATAGTGTATAATTATTAACTATAAAAGACAGCTCCATGGAGTAGATTAGTTTAATAATTACTTAAACCTAAAAGATTGATAAAACTCATCTAAAATCATTACAATTATGATCTCTCATAAAATCTATATCTCTTAAATTATGAAATATTAGATACTTAACCTCAAAATGAAATTGAAGAAATACTCAATAGAATTGTTTGTGCTTTAATTAGTTATCATTATTAAGTCACAATTCCTGATCCTCCTTAAGTTAGTTAAGTGAGTAGAATTACTCAAGAGAATTAAGAATCTTCATTAATTATTGCAGAATAGATATAAGTAAATCATATTACAACTAGCTCTTCTATATCTACTATGATCCCACTCGAATTTCAAAATGAATAATATGGAGAATCATAAAATACAACTAGAGCTTAATTCATTCTTGATAAATTAAAACATTAAATTAATAATAGTGTAGTAGGACATTACAATAAGTTATTTCAATATTGATATTATCTATATAATACTCATTTAAATTATTATATTAATTTATGAAATAGAGATTTCAGAACAAAGTTTGTCTTGTAACAGCATCCTCAACTGGTATTGGTTTAGCAATCAGTGAATAATTTGCTAGAGAAGGAGCTACTGTTATTATCAGCTCTAGAGATAAAAAGCATATTGATGCAGCAGTTGAGAAAATTAGAAATTCTGGAGGAAAAGCTGAAGGATATGCATGTCATGCTGGCAAGATTGAAGATCTTTAAAAAATGATTCAATTCATCAAAGAAAAGTATGGTCGTCTAGATATTCTTGTACCTAATGCAGCTGTCTCTACACATTTTGGATTTGTATTAGACATGACACCATAATAATATGATAAACTATTTGAAGTCAATCTCAGAGGAGTATACTTCTTAATTCAAGCTGCCTATCCTTTACTTAAAGTATTGATAATATTCATTATATTAAGGAGACCTAAGATTCCAATATTGTTATTATATCATCTATTGGAGGATATGAATCAGAAATGGGTCTTGGAATGTACAGTGTTACTAAAACAGCTTTATTGGGAATGACTAAGGTACTTAGTAAAGATTTAGCTCCAATTAGAGTTAATTGTTGTGCTCCTGTATTTGATTATATTTATTTATCTAGGGGTTAATTAAAACTAAATTTAGTTCAGTTTTATGGGAAGGAAAAGAGTAAGCTGCTGCTGAATTCATGAAAGTGGAAAGACTAGGTGTACCAGAAGATATAGGAAATGCTGTAGCATTTTTAGCATCATCAGAGGCTAGTTATGTAAATGGGGAAACATTAATTGTAGCTGGAAGAGCATCTCCTAGATTGTGAGAGTCTAAGTTATTAAATTAATTAGTCAAATTATTAGATTCTTTCGAGTCTCAATTATTTTTTACACTGAAAATATTGCCTCTTCTCTAAATTACAAATCAACCTCCATTAGATTTTATGGAAGACTCTCTTCTTCATCCTAACTGCAAGCTTCTTCATCCAATCTAAATGATTAAATCCTTGTTCTTTAAGCCAATCTAGCTTTAAAAGAATTTGCTTAACACACACGTTTTAATTTTTTTTTCTTTTGATTGATTGTATTTGTTGTACTAATATTGGATATACTTTCAAATATGACTCTTTATTCCAATTCTGAATCAAAAATACTCTAGAAAGTATCTAAACTATCAGATTCTTTTTGCATTTACTGATTTGATATAGAATAATGATTAGATGAAATTCTAATACTTTTAATTTATTGTATTGATGGTTCTTATTCTATAAGCTAGGAATCAAGTGATCTTTAATTAGATTAATTAATCATTATAACTATTAATTATAATTTATACAATATAATAATAATAATAATAATAATAATAATAATAATAATTATAATAATAATAATAATAATAATAATTATAATCTACCATTAAAGATGATATTGAAGAATATTTATTTATATTTAGTTATAGAATACTAAAAAGTAAAATTAAATATATAGTTTGATAAGAAATTTATACACTCAAAAATGATTCAAAATTATCAATTTTTCTAATTGAGGAAATTCCCCAATTTACCATTGTTTTTCTTAAGCCATTTATTTTTTTATAATATATTATTTAGTAATTTTGTATTCCAATTATCCACATTATGAACTTAGAATCTTTAAAGAGTATGATGATGTCTCATTTTAATTTAATTCTATTGAGATATTCTATAATTTATTATTTAAAATATTGATTTCATGATCAAAAGAAATAGAGACACTTCTCAATTTATTAATCTATTCATCAATTTTTTCTTAATATTCTCTAAGTAATTATGATAAGATAGGCACATCATCATAACATCTTATAAAAAATATATGTAAATATTTATCTGTTAAATTCTGAATAAGTTAATAAAGTTATTTTTGATCTAAATGAGGATCTCTTCTTAAATGAATTGACATATTTTATCTAAAACTTTATATGTTTTATATTATTTAATTGAATACTTTTGTAAAAAATTATTAATGTCTTAACTTTTGAAAAATTTATAATTACACAAATTTTGTCTCATAAAAAAAAGTATAAGCTAATGCAGTTATAAAAAACCTTTATATAAAATCCCAAAAATCATTTATTCTTTCAAATTCTTCATATCTTTGAAATTTCAAATCATCAAAAAATTTATTGATATCCATTTTTTATAATCCCATAAGCATTGAATATTATGAAGCTTCTCTTAAATGAATTTAAAGTTTATTATTAACAATCTTAGAAGAAAAAGAGATTACTAGATTTAAATGTTAAAAACCATTTGATCTCTTGAATATAAAGATTCCTAATTCCTTTGTAGGAATAAATTAATAGAATTAATATATAACACATTAGGTAATCTAATTAAATTCAATTAGCATTTATTAAATCAATTAACATGGTAGAAATGTATGATATAACAATTCACTAAGAGACCAAATATCATTCTATTAAACTAATAAATGCAAATTAAGTGGGGCTGCTTTTAAACATTCTGAATTGAAAAATCCTTCTAATATTTCGCTCTTTATCAAATAAATACGAATGAAATCCTCCTCCTCTTTCATAAGACAATTACCAATTATATTACTTATATAGAATTAACCATTTAATAATTTCCCAAATTATAATGCAATCTCAATATCAGTAGGTGAATAAGTTAATTTTTATATCACTATTTATTTTGATTCATCAAGAGATACAAGCATTCTAATCATAATATTTAAGTGTTCTTTGATCTTTTATTTAAGAGAATCAATTAAGATTGAAAGATCATGCTCAGTTAATTAAATCTTTTAAAAACTATGTGTTCAAGAAATTATACCTTAATGAAATACCACCTTCAATTTTGTTTACCTCATATTTAATTTCAGTCATCTTGTCTGTCACACTATATGGAAACTGTCTATAACATATAAGATCTTTTGGAAATTCCTTAATCTTATTCTCCACTATAGCAAAACCATCATCTATTATCGATATTATCAACTAATGATTCCAATTATTCAAATTAGTTTTCATTAATAATAAAATAATTTTTTTTTATGAATTTCATTAATTTATTCAGTCAATGCTGACAATTCTTAACACAACTATCTTTGTTCTTAAATTAATTTGTTTATTTAATCATCATCAGAATCCATTATTTCTTTCCTTTAGGGTAACACATATTTGTCATACTGATTAACCCATTTCTATAATTTCCCTTCTGGTATTTTATACATTGTAGCCATCTTCTATATTTCCATTCTTCCTGGTTCAGGTCCTAATTATTATAATAATTTGATTCTATCTGAAAATAAAAATTTAGGTTTTGTTTCCATTTACTAAATATATTAAATACATCTAATATTCTCTAATTAATTTCATTCTAAAAAAAAGTATTATAAAATTTTTATCAAATATATTAAAAATGTATAATTTTTAACCTAATCAAAAATTAGAAATTGATGGTCTAAAATTAGGTCATCAATTTGAATAGAGATTATATTAAAGAGAATATGACTCTATGAAAATGATGCTTGCTTAATCAGAAAAGGAAAAATAACAAGCTACTCAAAAATATAATCTGTTAAATTAAAAATATTAAGAAAAAAAAATTATTGATATTTTAGATGAACAATCATTATAATCACAAATTAAAAATGATGGAACAAGACTATTTAAAGCAGCAAAATATGCTATCTTAGGTTTAGAAAGAAAATTAGATGATATAGAATTGCCTAATAAAACTGAAAAGATTACAGATAAATCTTTAACAAATGATCCTAAAATTTAAACATTTTAAGCTTAAGATTCATAAATTAATGCTCAATTTACAGAAGAAGAATAATCAAAAATCTATTAATCCAAAGAAGATAGAAATTATTCTTAAAGTCTAATTAATTTTATAAATGAATTAGATGAAGAAAGAATAATCTATACAACTTAAGAAAGACTTCCTAATTATGAATAAATACCTTCTAAATAAATTAAAACATAAGGTTAATCTGTTACAGTATCATTTCTCTAGAATAATCAACCTAAAAATAAAAATTTAACTGATACCAAACTCAAATAACTTGATGATAATGCTTATTTTCACTTTACTGATGATACTAGTCGAACTGAATAAATATTTAACATTGATTAATAATTAGAAACACTTTTAGATGATATTTAAGGATTAGTAACCAGAACTTCAAAATAACCTGAATAAACACTTATAACTCATAAATTAAGACTCTAAAATGAAAAGACTTAAAAACCTCCACCAATTTAGAGAATACCAAATTTTCAACCTGTTAATTTTGTATAAAATTAAACAAAATAAGAAGAACAATCAATTCAAAGAGTAATTGATAGTTCTAAATAAATTGATAATTTAGATCAATTAATACTTGATCTATGCAATTGATTATATTTAAACTTCTTTAAAAATTAAGATATAATTAATATAGTAGGATTACTTTACATTATTTCTTTATATTGTTTTTATTATTTTAATTAAATCATTTAATAATATTGATAATCATTAATAAATCATACGTTAATTTTATTATCTTTTTTTATAAGTCTTAAAATGTAAACTTAATTCGAAAATACTATTACAGTATTACCTATGATTGAGAATATTATAATCTATAATATATATATATTTGAATTTACAGTTAGGTTGTATGTATGATTTATAGATGAAGATTCATTTTAAATAATTTATATATATGACTCTGTACTGATGAAGATAGAACTAATTAAAACTTATTTCATAATTAGAATTCTATAATTATATAATTTACATCATTTATATATATTGATTAATTTTAAAATTATTTTATTAATATTAACGATATGGTTATAATAAATATATATCAAAAACAATTATTCAATAGAAAAATAAACAAATAGTATGTAATAATTTCAAATGTTATGGTAAAAAGATGTTGTTATCATTTTAAATATTATTATATTTAATATATATAATTGTTAATCTTAAAAAAGTAAATATGATTGTTATATCATGTTAAAATACAATAAATTTTAGATATATATAAATCCAATAAATTTGATCGCATTTTGTAAAATGTGAAATAAATTAAATTTTATTTAACTACATTTAATATATTGGATTTAGAACATTCTTTATATTTCATATTAAATTGTATATTGATAATATAAAGGATAAGAGAAGTTCCATTTAACAATATTTATGAAATGCTAATAAGTGTCTATTTAGAACGTTTATAGGTGTTTAATTAAGAATTTTTATTAATTTTTATAAGAAAAAATGTCAGATGATGAACGTTTGTCTCTTCATTCTTATGATCCTTTATAAGATGGGAATGATAATGATGAAATAGATGAATTTTACAAGGAATTAAGTTATCAATTTTATGGGGAGGAGAAAAAAAAGAAAGTATCACTTTTGATGTCAGGTTCAACTTAAGTAACAATCATATTAAAAATTTATAGGAGACTAATAAACCTAGTAGAGATACACTACCTGATGTTAAGAAAGGTTTCTTGTTTGTGAAGTCATCTTCAAGTCGTCCAGGCAGTCCAAAATGTGGACGTAATTAGGTTTAAAGGAAATCTCCAAATTAAAAGTTATAGAGTAGTCCCACTACTATTAGAATGATTTAAACAAAGAAACTAATTTAATTATTGTAATCACCTTACAATATGAAAAATAAGTAGAAACAAACATTTTTGAAGAAATAGATTGACATGATCAAAAAGATTCAAGTATAAGAATTAAAGGAACATTATTATAAATGAGGTTTTATTAATTCTGTTCTCCTTATTTTTAATATATTGAAGTTATACTTCTTTATCAAAATATTTATAATTTTAACATATGGGAAAAGCACATAAAACTAAGAAATTTGCAACAATCAAGCGCATGATTACTAAAAAGGATCCCAGATGTTAAAAAAGACATCTTGAACAACCTAAAGAAGAGAAAAAGAAAGGTGTTAATGATGTGGAAATAAAAGAATTGTATTTTTATTATTATTACATTTTAGACCACAAGAACCAAGTCACTTATTTTTTAGACATAATCCAGCTCTAGGACCTCCATATAGGATTTTACTTGATACAAATTTTTTAAATTTCAGCATTTCTAATAAATTAGACATTTTTAAAAATACAATGGATTGTCTTTTAGGAAAATGTATTCCATATATTTCTGATTGTGTTATTGCTGAATTAGAGAAGTTGGGACAAAAGACAAGATTAGCTTTAAGATTGTCTAAGGATCCTCGTTTTGAGAAGTTAACTTGTGATCATAAGGGAACTTATGCTGATGATTGTTTAGTGAATAGAGTGAAACAACATCGATGTTTTATAGTAGCCACTTGTGATAAGGATCTCAAACGTAGAATCCGTAAAATTCCTGGTGTTCCAATAATGTTCATCTAGAATCATAAATATACAATAGAGAGAATGCCTGAAGCATTTGGTGCTCCAAGATGAATTGCTATTATTTTTATTAATTTATATAAATGGCTGAATTAACAAAAGAGGAGAAGAGAGAAAAAAGTAAATAAATGAAAGATAAGATGAAATATGTAGAGTAATAAGCAAGATATAGAAAGGCTTAAACAGAATTAAGAGAGAATGGATTAGAAAATACAACAACAAATACTAAGCGTGAAATAATGAAAGCATTAGAAAATGAAATGGATGATCAATAAATAAAACAATATTAAGAACTTCAAAAGAAATTAATAAGAATGAATTATTATGGATCATTTTTTGGATTAACTAGTGCAGCTATATTGCCAAGAACATTTAGATTTTATTAGAAACTTGGATTAATATCAAGGTAATATCTAAAAATATTGTTAGAGTCACTATTTGTGTTAGTACATTTTTAATTACTTAAAAAGGAGCAACATTTAAATATTTATGTGATGTAGATGATTTTGAAGTTGATTTTATTTAAAAGCATAAAAGTAAATTTTTAGAAACATCTTTTGAAAGTTGATTTAATTTTAGTTTTATTATCTTTTAATAATTATATGTAATATTATATTCCAACCAAAGATGTTTTAGGTGCACTTTCAGAAGTATTTTCAAAGTGTAATTACCAATTTGATAACTCTAAACATTCTGAATCATTTGATAAACTAGCATCCACTTTTTAATCTAAATTGGATACTAATAAATTCAAAACCAATTTAGATAAGTATATTGAAAAGGTTAAATGTATAAAATAAACTTGATTTTAGAAAAAATTTAATCAAAAGATGAAAATGATGGTTCTATATGTCTATCAAGTTAATATAATGATATATCAAAATAAAATGATTAACAAACTACAGGATTATTAAATTCAATTAAATAAAAAGTTATTCCTGAAACAATTGATTAATAAATACAAACTGATACTATAATGTCTTTGTGTAATTTGGAATCATCTGTAATTTAAGTTGATAATGGTTGTTAAATAACAGTTGAATAAATTGAAAATTTAACATAAACAGAATATGATATGATTGATGCAACAACTAATACTATAATTTATGAGGATAATACAAAAAAAATGGAATAAAATTAATTAAAATTATATAGTTAAGAAGTTTCAATTCAAATTTATAGTGATTATGTTAAAATTAAATCTTAAGATTTTTAATGTCAGGTTGATCAATAACAAGATGATTCATAAAATATTGTATTAAATTAAAAACTTGAAAATAATAGTGATTAATAATAATAGAGTTATCATTCATCTGATTTGATAGACAATTTATAAATAATTCACGATTAAATAAATGAGGAATTTATAAAATGTTAATGTGGTAAAAGTATTTTTATTAATAAAAAAAAATTAATTGATGTTGAATGTTAATATGATAAATCTCTAAATACATAATAAACAAATATAATAGATATGGAATTTTAAGAAAGATTTAAGCATATAAGAATTAGAAGTAGATGTATGAGTTAAACTAATTAAAATAATGAAAAAATATAAATTAATGATGAAGATTAAATCACATTTTTAGAAAATGGTAATTATTTATAATATATAATTTAATAGAATTATAATTAAAAAATGAATTATTAGAAACTAAAAATTAAGTTATTTTCAAATTACATTCTTAGATTGAAGATTTACATAAATTAATTAATGATCAAAAAGATAGTGCTAGAAATTGCAATGATTCAGATTCAGATATCTCTAATGAAAGTGATAATTAGAAAATTAATAATTTATTACAATAAATACAAACTGATGCTGATATATAACATCATTTGACTAAATAGATGTTATAATATAGTGAAGAAACTAGAAATCTTGAATAATAAATAAGAGAACTTAGAGATTAAAATTAAGATCTTAAAGAAGAACTTGATAAATTAACTATTTAAATTACAAAATTAAAAGAATAATAAGCAGAAATGGAAGAAAATAATGCTAAAGAAATTGATATTATTAATGAAGATTATTAAGATAAATTATCAAAATAAAATATGATAATTGATGACTTACAATAATAAATTAATAGTTTATCAATAAGTCCAATGGGATTACCTCAAATTTCTATGCCTTAAACTATGAAGTATATAAGTTAATAATAATTCTAAACTGTTGGATCTGATTCATAATAATCTAAAGGATCAAATTGTAAAACTAAAGAGGAAAAACAATAATTAATGAGAAATATTAAAAGAATGACTACAATGACAGCAGGATTGATGTCAAATAAATAAGATTATACTACTTTGGGAGTCTTAGGTAAAATTGATCAATATAAGAGTTAATAAAAATTAGAATCCTTCAATAAACTTAATTGATTGTTAATATATTTATTATTTAAATTTAATAGATAAACAGTAAATTAATTTTAATTATTCATTTATAATAACACCATAAAAATTTANTTTAATGTCAGGTTGATCAATAACAAGATGATTCATAAAATATTGTATTAAATTAAAAACTTGAAAATAATAGTGATTAATAATAATAGAGTTATCATTCATCTGATTTGATAGACAATTTATAAATAATTCACGATTAAATAAATGAGGAATTTATAAAATGTTAATGTGGTAAAAGTATTTTTATTAATAAAAAAAAATTAATTGATGTTGAATGTTAATATGATAAATCTCTAAATACATAATAAACAAATATAATAGATATGGAATTTTAAGAAAGATTTAAGCATATAAGAATTAGAAGTAGATGTATGAGTTAAACTAATTAAAATAATGAAAAAATATAAATTAATGATGAAGATTAAATCACATTTTTAGAAAATGGTAATTATTTATAATATATAATTTAATAGAATTATAATTAAAAAATGAATTATTAGAAACTAAAAATTAAGTTATTTTCAAATTACATTCTTAGATTGAAGATTTACATAAATTAATTAATGATCAAAAAGATAGTGCTAGAAATTGCAATGATTCAGATTCAGATATCTCTAATGAAAGTGATAATTAGAAAATTAATAATTTATTACAATAAATACAAACTGATGCTGATATATAACATCATTTGACTAAATAGATGTTATAATATAGTGAAGAAACTAGAAATCTTGAATAATAAATAAGAGAACTTAGAGATTAAAATTAAGATCTTAAAGAAGAACTTGATAAATTAACTATTTAAATTACAAAATTAAAAGAATAATAAGCAGAAATGGAAGAAAATAATGCTAAAGAAATTGATATTATTAATGAAGATTATTAAGATAAATTATCAAAATAAAATATGATAATTGATGACTTACAATAATAAATTAATAGTTTATCAATAAGTCCAATGGGATTACCTCAAATTTCTATGCCTTAAACTATGAAGTATATAAGTTAATAATAATTCTAAACTGTTGGATCTGATTCATAATAATCTAAAGGATCAAATTGTAAAACTAAAGAGGAAAAACAATAATTAATGAGAAATATTAAAAGAATGACTACAATGACAGCAGGATTGATGTCAAATAAATAAGATTATACTACTTTGGGAGTCTTAGGTAAAATTGATCAATATAAGAGTTAATAAAAATTAGAATCCTTCAATAAACTTAATTGATTGTTAATATATTTATTATTTAAATTTAATAGATAAACAGTAAATTAATTTTAATTATTCATTTATAATAACACCATAAAAATTTATATCTTATTTAATTCTAGAAACATTTAATTACTAATTATTATAATTAATAAGAATATTATATATAATTACAAAATACAATCATAAATTGTATTTTTTAGTAATAATATGAAATAATATTAAATTAATTAATTTTAAAATATATAAGCTATGCATTTATCTAATGCATCCTCTTCAAGTGTGAAATTTTAGAGTGCTAAACAACAACAATAGGAATCAATTAAGATTAAAGAATAATAGGATTAAACAATAAATTCTGAAGGGGACCTAGAGTCTGAATTTAATTAGGATGAAACATATTAGAAATAACAGAATATTCAAAAAAGCTAAAAATTTGAAGCATCTGAATAGGAAGTCATATCTATTGAGGCTAAAAAGGAAATTGCATAAGTTGAATAATTGAATACAGAAATGCAAGAAGAGAAACCTTTAACTTTGAATTTTGTAAGTATGTCTTCAAATCAAAGGAATAATCTTTAGACTTATAAATCAACAAATAGAAAACTTATTCCAATAAATTAACATAGTTTAAGTTAATCAATTATATCAAATATTACTTTAAATAATAAAGGAAAAGGGTTTCGTAAAATAAATGCATTCTATTATGATAGAATAGGAGATTAAATAAGTTTGATATTTATGGAAAACAAGAATATAATAAAGTTTTTAGCAAGAGAGACTGTAATTCCTATTTTAATATCATTTGTTATTGAAGTGTTAATTTTAGTTGTTTAGAATGAGATTGGTGAATATTGTTTTATTGATGGGATTATTTGTTCTAATTATTGGGTTAGATTATGGTCATTTATCAAATAATAGATTGTAAGATTATCATTAATAATAAACAGCTTTTTAAATTAGGGATAGTATTTTGCAAAGGTCATATATTGTACAATTTGGTATTAGGAAATAAGTTAATACAAGTAAAGAATGGAAGACCTTTAATGGAATATTTTGTTTTAATAATAATGACAATCTTAACAGATTTTATAATGATATTTTGGGTTGGATTCAATGAAGATTGGCTATTTATTGTTTATGTCTATATAATTGGTTTTGTTGTATTTTTCAATACATTTAGAATGAAGACATGGCCAAGTTAACTTTTAAAAGGTTTAAGTTATTTCTTATATGATATAACAATAATTGGTTTGTTATTGGTATGTTTTAAACTATTGCCTTAAATAAAATAATCTTTAAGAAATCATAATTCTGTGGCTTGGCATGAATATTATATGTTCTTATATGCATTTTTAGATTTGGGAATGGAAATTATTATGGATTTATCATTATCATTAACAAAATATAGTGAATTATACATTTATTAAGGTTAATTGTTGATAATAGGTACAAGAGTTGGAACATTAATTTAAGGAGACATGGCAAGATTTGATTATTGGTTTTGCTTGTTTTTTTTGATAATGTTTAGAATTAATAATATATCAATTGTATTTACTGTATTTTTTAGAAGAGTAATATATTATGCAACTCCAGATAGTTTGAAACCATTTGTATCAATGGAAGAGACAAATTTAACAAGAAAGGGTAAAAATGGAGCATGTTGGGAACATTTATTTTGGATTGTTTATTTTTATATGTTTATATTTTCAGGAAGAACTTTAACTCATTGGATTTTTGATAAATCTTATATATTAAATGGGTAATTTGAAACTAATATATGGAATGGATATGATAAATCAAATTATATGCCTATTATTGTATGGACATTTCTGTTGATACCTGAATTTGTAGGATATAAATTGAATAAATCTAAGAATTATGATAACATAAAATTGTTAGGAGGAAATAAATTAAAATTTTATGAAAATCTATTCATAAGAATATTTGGAGTATATTTATTCAACTTTGCATTGATGAGTAATTTAATTTGACATTTAGATAATATATTTTTATTCACAATTTCTCCATTGTAACTAATAATCGACTTCTTTTATCAACCATCTTCTATTCTCTAAAATCAATTAATTCGAATCCATCCTCCTTTTCTACTTTTTTTTCCATTCCTTTAAATAAAGGATACAAATAAACAAGTCTACCTCCTCTTCTTAATACTCTCCTTGCTACTTCAAACATTCTTCTATAGATGGCAGTTCTATTAGCTTATAGATCCTACTCATTTCCATCTTATTATATTGATGCTCTTATTCCATAAGGAGGATCACAAATTATTGCATCAAAAAATTCATCCACTCTAGGATTGAAAGTTGGTAAATGAACATCAGTTTATATCAAATTTGGGATAGGAAGATTGTATTATTGAAAATTCAAATTTATGTAAGGTTTAACTTATTGATAATTTGGATCTTTGAGATAAGTACTCTTCTTATTGATGTATCCAATACAATGCCCTTTCATTAACTAATAATTTAACTTATATACATTACATATCCATCTATTTCTGAACCAAAACATATTGCACCAAAATGAGAACAAGCAACTAAAGAACTGCCTGTTCCTGCAAATGGATCAAATACTAAATCATTCTCTTACACTTAAGCTTAATTGGCCATCAAAAATGCTAAATCATGAGCCAAAGAAACTGGACCTAAATATATACGATTTGGCAATTCATAGTTTCTTGCAAAATTCTTTTCTCTTCTCTTCTTTTTCTTAGTTAATGTACAACCAGCAATATATTTTTGATCTTTAGTTATAATCAAATAATATAGTATGTCTGGTTCTGTTAAATTAATAGTATTTTAACAATTAAATCCCTTCTCTCCAAATACTTACTCCATTAATTCAACTCTCTTCTCTTAAGTGATTTTGAAATATGATGTAATAATATCACATTTACAAGTTAGATTTGGATTTTAGATATATTGCATAGCTTAAGGTAATATATTCTTAGTTAAATCATCTAATGTATTGCCTCTACTGATTGTATATAATATGTCATGAATCAAGATGGATCGATTCAAAACTTTTGGAATTAAATCTAGATCCCTCAATTATACATCCACAAAAGGATAATTTGGTAGTGTTTAAGATGTAATTTCATATTTCTTTGGAAACTATATTATAGGGAAATACTATTTGAACAATTCTTAATATGGCAATCCAAAGAGTTCAAATAGTTGAATTGCTTCCTATATTCCAAATTCACCCATCTCAATTGACTAATTAATAACTAATGTGACAATGTGTTCTTATTCTTAAATCATAAATTAAATATCGATATAAATTATACTATTAAATAATTTATAAGTTATTAAATTTAATATATATCAATCAATGTTCTAATACACCTTCTCTCCAAATTCCATCAATTTATTATCCATCTTATGTCATGAATACTCCTTTCCCCTCAATCATACCATCATTAAATTATCCTTCATAACATTCTCCATTGGTTAGATACAATGTACCATTTCCTTGCATCTTCCCTTAAAAGAACTCTCCTTCATAACTTAACCAACCATTCCCTATTAAACTAAGATCTCTATAATCAAAAGGATCATTTATTTCTTCTGCACAATAATTGATAAGTTTTCCTTATCCATGATATTGGTTGTCTAACCAATATCCACTATATACTTCATTATCATTTTAATCTATCAATACTCCAAATCCTTCTCTTGTGGCTGGTTCATATCCTTATCCTCTATAAATATATCCATCTTCATATTATAGGGCTAAATCTTAGAGTTACTTTTGTTCTTCTTATTTTGGTTGTGGTTTATTATACTTCTATACCAAATCCTTAGTTTTATCGATTGCATCTTGGAACTTCTTTTCTAGATCATCATCCTATTAAGATAGGATTGGAGGTTAAGAGTATTGTGGTTTATGTTAATATTATGGAGTTGTTTAATGATTAGATATAGATTTTGGAGGTGGTTTGGATTAATTAGATTAAACTTATGGAGTAACTGGTTATTATTAATAAAAGGATTTTGAAATTGGTTGTTATTATATTTGATATGGAATGGAAGATCTAACATTCTGTTATTCTTAATAGGAGGTATTATTTAATACCATTTATTAAGATGTAGGTACAATGGTTCTAGTTGTATAAGATTGATGAATAGAATTGCCATGTCGAATAGGGATTATTGGTTAAGTATGATATATTCGAGTTGTGGATATTGGCTATTGTAATAGATTTTATGAAAGTACAGAATGTGTTATTTGGATATTTTATGGCTTAATAATCATTTTAACTGGTGGTTGTATATATCTAATATAAGTTGGTTGAGGGGAAATAAGATAGAAGGAAGTATTATACATAAAAATAATTTTTATTGTGAAAATTACAATTATCAAAATAACCTTATTCAATCTAGTCTTCTGAAGATATACATATAACCCTTATTTAATGCAGGCTCAGCGGATTTGGCAACCTTAGAATCATTGTATAGAATCCATTCTCCATTCTTTTTAATGTAAGACACATAATGTCCACAATGAACAGATTTTCCTAAATGAACTATACAAGCTAAAATATATAAGAGAGAAAGTTAATACCAAACAATTCATATTTAGATGTTTGATTTTCAAATTGATCCTACTTCTATTATTATTTCTCTTGTGGCTATTTCATTTCTAATTCTAAGTCATGATTAAATATATAATCCATAGCTCTTTCTAAATTATTATCCTTTTATATATAGATACTATAAATATACTGTTTTAGATAATGCAAATCTGGCTTAATCTTGATTGAAACCCATTGCAACTATTTATTCTACAAATTCTTCACTTATTTAAGGACCTTGTTGTTTCTATTATAATGGTTAATCTTGAGTTGGATCATCTAAAGATTCCATAATAAACATCATAGCAGCTTCAACATCATTCTTATATTTAATTAGTGCTCGTTTGCATCTATTTTCACCAAATCCCATTCCCATTAAAGTTTATAAGTTATCTTCTGTGTATTCCTATAAATTTTACTCTTTTAAAGCATCTATGTCTTAGAGTACAGGTTCTTTGAAATCAGCTAAATCATAGAACTGTTAAATCTTAATAGAGGCATTCAATTTTTTAGGAACCCAATTCTCTTAAACAAATCTTATAACAGGTACAAATAGATATTTTGGAAATGTTTTAAAGTATTCTTATTTAACAAATACTTATAGAGATTAACATTTAGGACAGAACATATCTACACGTTCTCCTTGTTTTACTAATTACAAGGACTTTTCAAATGTTGTGTCATACTCAGGTAAATCATTTAATTAAAATGGTTTAATATCTTCTGGTTTCATTGTTTTAATTCTCTCTTCATATTTCTATTTTTCTTGTATATGATAGAGATCAATTTATTCTTAAGTAGGTTATTCAACAGGTACTTTAAATTCTTAATTTTTAACAACATTAACTTTATGTCCTCCACAATTAACACATTTTAGTATAGTTGTCTAATCATATGAGAAAATAGATGATAATTATTATAATTTATATTATTTTTCTGTTTTCTAAAAGAATGAATTTAATAATTGCCAATATTCTAATGCATCTTATTAATGATTAGATAGAAAATGTTAATTACCTTTAGCTACTAATTATTTGAAATCATACAATCTAATTCCATCTTAATAGAAATCTTTTTATGCTCCTTCAATATCTAAAGCAGATTTCGATACTTTTTTGATTGAAAAATCACCACTATTTAAACCATGATTAACTTTACTAATTTGACATAATGTACAATTATATGGTAAATTAGTACAATTAAATTAATGATCAAGAGAGTATAATTATTAAAATTCAGGTATGCTAAATAATACTTATACAACTGAATTCATATAACATGTATTTCCAATATTATCAATTCCTGTAAATTCAGGTCCAAAAATAGGATCTAATATTTAACCTTCTTCTATTAATTTACTCAATTACAATGTTAAATTAGCATCCAATGTTAATTCAGCTATTGTTTTTTCAGTTTTCACTTATTTTTCTATTTCAATTCCATAAGTAGCCAAATGTTCTTTAAGAAAATTATCTATAACTTCATCATCACATTTGTAACAATATACATCACCTTTACCATCAGATGTAATAGTTCCTAATTTAACTACTAAATGATGTTAATAGTCTTTAGAATGATCAACTGCATGATTATTTCCTCCTGATCCATCATACATCTTTCTACCACAACCAACATGTCCACAATATAAACATAACCATAAATTAGATGATAAATGACAACTTCTACATTTTTATAGATTTTTTTCAACTAATGGTATCTATTCCATTGTTAAAGTATGTTCACATGGTTAAGCTGTATGTTCCCATTAGGCTATTGCTTATCTTTAAAATGCAGAATTTGCTTATTTAATTGATTATACCAATCCATCCAATTCTGGAGAATCTAATTTTTTCTGACATTTCAAACATGTCACACTTGTTTCACTTTACAATTATGGAATATCTGCTATTACTAATTTATTTATATCTTCCACTTTCTATTATGGCTATTCTATTTCATATAATCTAATATTTAACACAATGAAATGATTATGTTAATCACTATGTTAAGGACTATGCATTTCAATACAACCTCCATTAAAACATTTCAAACACACTTAAATACCATTTTCACTTTTAGCTTCTACAAAACATCTAGTACATTGATCTTTATATATCATTTAACCCTATACTGACCAAGTGATGTGTTATTCATTAATATGTTCACATATACTAGTCATTTCTATTTAAATTAAATAATTAATTTCTCATTGGGATTACTTTATTAAACTTTATTTGAACTTAAAATAAATATAAATAAATTGAATGAATAATTTTAAATTTGATTTTAATGTCTTTCGAAAGAATGAGACAGAGTTTCAAATCCTTCTTAGGTTTAAATGCTAGTCCATAAATTGATTAATCATCTTAAGTATCCATTCCTCAAGAACTTAAATCTTCAAACTCATAATGCATCATCAGAAACAAATTTGTTCAAATTGAAAAAAAACAAGAACGTCTTAATCCTTATAAGAAATCTCTTATACGTTTAAATGAATATTACAAAACTATTGTCAAAGGAACTGATTTCTCTAAATGTCCAACCATTCAATATTAAATTAATGAAGATGAAGTAATTTTGCATTCTATTAATATTTCAAGAAACCTGCAATTGATCATAAAACATGTAATCCAAGATGGAAGAGGGAAGATTAATCTTAAGATTGCTCATCATATAGATGGAGTTCATATAATGAATTCCCTAATCCAACTTAATATAAAATTTAATCTAAACCAACTAAAAATTAAGTTTATGATCCTTCAATACTCTCCTAATCAAGAGAAAAATAGGCATCAATCAACTTTTAAAAGAAACAATTTCTATCTTATTTAGAAGATAAACCTATTAGTGTAATTAATGAGATTCATCCAATTGAAGACAAAAAGAAAAAGTCATCATAAATCTCAATTAGAAGAGCTGATAGTTTTCTCTTTGATGATCAAGAAGAACCAATATATGAAAAAGGTAGATAAGCTTTCTAAAAATCAGATAACACAATTAAACCAACTGAAGAAGATAATCAAAGTGCATCTGAAAATATTGTAATAAAGAAATAACCATTATCAAAATTTTGTTAAATAAAAAAATAAGAATTTGAATTTAATCCAAAAATTGAAACACCTAATTCTTCAATCCTAAATAAAGAAGAATAATAAAAACCATTAATTCAATTATAATAAAATATAATTAAAATTCCAGATGAATAAATATAATAATAATAAGAACCTATTTAATAAAAATAATAAGAACCACCTATAGAAGTAAAATAAGAACCTATCATTCAATAAAAAACAGAACCATTACCATAATCATTACCATTAACATAATAATCTGTCATAGAAGTTAATCCCTTTACTTCTAATATAGAAAGTCCTCTATTTAGTGCACCTTGGATAACTAATTAATAACCAATTATATCTTAAAATTAATCAACATTTAATCTATTTCAATCATAACCAATATAAAATTAATTTCAAGCTCCTTTTATTACATAATAACCATAATAATAACCTGTTTTTCCATTTTAAAATTAAACACAACCATAATAAAGTGTATTTACTAATGAAAATTTTTTCTCTTAATAAATTTAACCATCTTCAAATCAATTTATGAATAATTAAATTAGTTAGAATGTCTTTAATCAAAATAATTCATTCTAAACTTAATCACCATTTACATAAAATCAAC